ACATGAAAAGATGACTTGCTAAATATTAAGTAAAAACATTGGGTGGGGGGTACAAACATCCTAAACTATGAACAAAGGGTTAAAAATTGTTCACCAGTTGAAAATCGAATGCAAATAAGCAACAAGATTTTGAATGGTGGTGTACTCTGCCTTGAAAATTAACTTTCAAAATTTTGTTTATTTGTGTTCAAAAAATTCAAATAGTGAAGCCATAAAAAAAAAAATTTAATCTTTTAAATTTTACAACTTTCTGTAACATCTGACAATAGCATAGTGCTTTCATGATATGGTCTTGCTCATTTCTTATATTTAGCTGTATATTTACAGTTCAAGATGCCACTCAAGAACGCAAGAGATACAGATGATGGTGATAGAGGTAGGAAGCATTAACATTGATTATATACATTATTCAGACTGTTATCCTCATCTTCATTGCCTTTATGCAACATAGAAATAACAGATGCCTGGGAGAGGCATGGCACGTGGAACTAGAACAACCTACCCCAGTGGACAAAAAGGGTTCATTTCGAAATTATAATCACCTGAAGAAGGCCAAAAATACAATGGCCAAAACGTTGTGAATATGGTAATAAAGATGAGGATAACAGTCAGAATAATGTAATTAATCATAATACCTCATCTCAAAGATATAGACAGATATTAACATTAATATTTATCTACGCTTGAAAAAGCACAATTACTAAAAAAAAATTAGAGAAAGGAACACTTGTAAAGACTTTGTGCAAGTACTATGTCATTGGATCATCCACAGTGTATGACTTAAAAGAAACAAAAAGGTGCAGATTTTTAAGTGTTTTACTGAAAACAAAAGCCAGAAAAGTATGAAGTACAGTCATCCTTTTTTATTGTAGTTAATCAATTCTAGACCCTACCACGATAAGTGAATTTCTGAAGTAGAATTCTTTATTTATATATTGAATATTTTCACTAGAGCATAGAAAGCCTATTTACGACCTAAATACAGCTTTTTGACATAAGAGCTTTCTCAACATCAAATAACACCCCTGTAGTCACTTTTACACTTATATTACCCAATATATTAGACAAAAGAGAAAATAAGACATATTAGACATTACAAACATCATTATTATTGTACATTAAAATCACACACAAAGTTCTTATGTGTACACCACTTCATCATCAAACAAGTTGCATTATTTTCCTAGGTTAGTGTGAACCTAGGAAAATAATGCAACTTGTTCGATGATGGAGAGATGTACTGCACAACAAAGGTTTCTACTCCTTTAAATCATTTGCATAAACTTTCTTTATACCTTGGAAAGACTAATAAGCATAATTTGATACTTTCTTTTCAGCACATACCTGAATTATCCTATTTGCATAAATATCTTTGTATGTAGTTTTGGTTTTGTTGCCAGAAAACAAAATTTGGCTTTATTTTAATCAAATACTATTGACTTGTTGCTTTGTACTCAGTTTGTTGTTTGTCAATTTAATATCTTCTGAACAATTTTGTTTGCAGATTTCATGCAACCAAACACATCAACAAGTGATCCAATGCACACCCACAATAATAGTAGAGTGTAGTCAACTGTGAAGCAGCGATAAGATTTTTTAGTGAAAAAATCTGATAAAAAAAAAAAAAAAAAACGCAGTAGAGTGAATCTGCAAAAGTCGAAGCGTGAAGTGGTGAGGCATGACTGTATATATTATTTTTTGGCTTTAGCACTTTTTTTTAACTTTTGTATTGTGTGAAACAATAAGAAACTTCTTTGAAAACATTAATATTTGTTTTATTTCCTGTGTTTTTGCTTTGTTCTCCTAGCTAGCAAGACTATGTTTACATAGGCTTTTTTTTTAGGTGTGCTTTCTATCATCTGATATTTTCTGTGGTCTAGCAGTGGCCTGGTCTCAAGGGAGTTAGTGAGTTCAGACTGTGCAAGGTACATTCCCAAAATTGATATATTTTTAGGATAAAAAAAAAAAAAAAAATCTAATCTCCTTCAAAGTAGGACCTTTAGACTTCAAATGCTCTTGTAGCATTTCACCAACTTCTTGAAGACCCCCACCATTTGTAACCCTTGAAAGTAAAGGTAGTAATGGTCTTTGTCACAGCCTCTTTCATCTTCTCAAAACATTAATCTATAAGTAGTCTTTATCATTTCATAGGTGTCAGCTTTTTTTGCCAAGATTAGCACAAAACTTATCAGAAACATATGAAACCATACTAGAGCACTCCTTGAAAAACTAACTTGTAATAGAAGTGTGACTTGCTGATATTACTCAACAGAAGATGCCCAGTATCAGGGAGAGGCAGCTGAAGTTTTTGGGACACATAATGAGGAAGGAGGGCCTGGAGAATATGATACTCATAGGTTGAATAGAGAGAAAGAAAGACAAAGGAAAACAACAGCAGACTTAAGCAAGTGTATGACAGAATGTGGTCTGGGTAGAGGAAGCAGAGGGAAGGAACTTATTGAGAGCTGCAAGGGATAGAGGGAGGTGGAGAGCCATGATCATCTACATCCTGAAAGGACATGGCATATAAAAAGAAAGAAAAGTAGACACAGAAGAAAAAAAATTCAGACACTCTTAGACAAAGTAGTAAAGGAAAGCAGAAAGAAAAGATCAATTGCAAGAAGATAGAATGTATAGTCATTAACAAGAGGAACAACCCAAAACAGAAACATCAAAATCAAACAAGTACAGAAATTTAACTATCTGGGAAGTGTTTTCACAGAGGACAGAAAATATGAGACAGAAATTGAAAGGCATATTGGAATAGATGCCTTTCAAAAGCTAAAGTATTAAGAAACAAAAAAATTCCATTAAAAACAAAAGTGCTGAATGGCTTTGTAGTATCATTCCTCCTATATGGCAGTTAATGCTGAACAACTTCCTCACACATGAAGCAGGTAGCAGAGATGTAGACTTATATAAGGATGCAAGGAATTGACTATGGATGGAACATGTGAGCAATGAGTAAGTGAAATAGAAACAAAAAGAGTACTTATAATTTGAATCAAAGACATTTCACCCAATACAAAGTCCTCCCAATACAAGGCCCAAGGGCAACTCAACGTAGAGGGTTACTGTGTAGAGTTGTATTAGTGTAAGAAGGGAAATTCTTGGAGCTATGCAGGAAACATAACAGCAAATTCTAGACTTGAAGAAATCAGGATTTAAATAGTGAATGAAAGTATAGATAGAAGTATAGAGTTGAAGTAGACTTAAGGAACTAGAAACCCAATTCTAAACTGCAAACAAGGGATAGACCTCTACTCCTGTTCAAAAGGACTGGGGAGGAGTGGGAAATTTCTCTGGTATGTACTGTGGGAAGAAAGCTTGGAGAATTTAACACTCAGGATATAGTGAGGGGCAGAGTGGGGAAACAGGTAATGAACTCATATAAATGTATGGCAGAACAGGGAGAGATATTAAGGGGACAGACATTGTTTAGGGCTACAAAGGATAGAAAGTTGTAGAGAAACATCATAGCTCATATCCTGATGGGAGACTGTATATAAAATCATATTTTTGTGAAGCAGTCAGTTACTCTAGAAGTTTCAGGTAATTTTCACTCTCCAGAAAAGAATTTACCGGTGTAGAGTGCAACTCCTTATTTTATGAAGCTTCATCACATTTTAAACACCAGTTCTTTTATGATCAAAGTTAAGCAATGTTGGGCTTGATCAGTACCTAGATGTGTGACTGTTTGGGAATACTAGGTGGATGTATGGATGGTGTAATTCATAATGGTTCAGAATTGTTAATCAGAGAAAAGACTTCAAATTCCCATTGGGTTCGTTAAATTCATTCGCGTGCTATTACCCTTGGGAAAGATATGAATTCACCTATTATCCCCCAGCTATAGATTAATTAAGACTTGTATCACTAGACTAATTATCTCAGAAAAAAAAATAAATAAATAAAATAAATAAGATTAATTTAAAAATATTTTCTGGCCTTAAATAAGTTTGAGAATGCATAGAAGACAAATCAATAAAAAAACTATTTTTTGCATAACAAAACTGATCATAACTTGCACTATACTCATGTATATGCAGTTAGTCAGTAAGTCATTACAGAAAAGTTTAAATACAAAATCTACTTTTAAGTCTAATTAAATGCCCAATAGAATGATGTCAGGAAGCTCTTAAATATTGCCACTTATTGCATTCCATGATTTATTGACTCAAATTTAATAAAATATTTGCTTTGCAGTGATTAATCTCTCAAAGAAGCCTCAAAATTGTGACTTGTTTTATGGATTATCATTATCCACAGCATTCTCTGACCAAGCAGCCAGTGCTACTTTCGGTTAGAATTTATAAAATTTCCTGCATCAAACAATTTTTCATGATATAGATTTCTCAAGTCCAGTAACTGTTACTGCTCTTTCCAGTATTGGTGAGAGATTACTTCCTAACTTTTTGCTTGAAGTAGTGTGGAAAGTTAGTTTTTATAGATCAATTTGTTTTCTACAGCTTAACCTCTTGCACACTACTGTAATCTCTTATCAATACTGGAAAGAGCAGTAACAGTTACTGGACTTGAGAAATCTATATCTATTTTTATTATAGGAGATTGATTGATTGGCTGGTTATTTAACAAGCGGCATGGGACATTAATGCCAAAACGGTTGATTTTGTTCAAAAACAGGAGAACCTCCATGGGCCACTCAATGCTGAATTTCAAATATTTTCTATGCAGTTTTATGGCTTCAACTACAGATGTTTTGTACACATTTTAGTACTTTCAGGGTAAACAGGTTTTATTTATTTTTTTTTTTTGGAGATAGTTTATAGATAAGATGTATTGTTTTCTTTTATCATACTGGAAACTGTAACATTTTTTTGGAGATAAGGATTTTGTGATACCAGTCTTACTAATTAACCAATAGCTTGGGGAGAGAAGAGGTGACTATTTGCACATAAGTGAATATAACAGGAATTTGAACTCGGCACTCCGATTAACAATTCCAAGCCATTATTCATCATACCAACTGCACATCCGAGCTTACAGCACCTGGTATTCCCAAGCAGCCACCCATCTAGTTACTGACCAAGCTCAACATTGCTTAACTTCTGTGATCATATGGGAACTGGTGTTTCAGTATGATATGGCTGTAAGCCAGTGTGGAAAGTCAACATCTTATGACATTATTTTCCCTTCGAGTTACATGTGCTATCCATTTTAGTTGTTGCTGCTGTTGGTAGTCCTCAAGTCATGTGGTTTTTGTTATTTGGAACAGTTCTTTGTGATTCTATAGCACCAATTCACAAGAAGATGGCTGGTCCTCACTGGAACATCAGAAAAATTGCCATGAACATATTTCTAATAAAGAGAGAAGGAAGCCATGTCTCAGTGGGAAAGCAATTGAAGTCAAGGTGTCAGGTCTGGACTGATAACATTATGGACCCTTCTTTCAATTTTTTGGAGAATCTCGAGATATATAGCAAGAGCACCAGATCAGATATGGCAGTAATATTTCATGCACGGACAATTAGTATATTTATAAATGTGCAAGATGAATTCTGGTGAGAAAAATTGTCTTCCACAACACAGTGAATCAATTTCTAAGCAGAAGGCCTAGCAACTGAATCAATATAATCAATATTTCATGTCAGTAGAAAATGTGAGCTCAAGGCCCAATGAAAAGCTTTCCTAGTAGTTAGCATCAGCCATGCTGATAGAAGTCAGAACAATGTTCTCTATGGTGATTAAATGATAGTGTTTTTTTTGTGGTTTTTTGAGGCATTAGAATTTATAAGACATTTCTTGCCCCAGTTAACCACTGATTTGATGTCATTTTCAAGAGCAGCTATTAGTTTTAACTTGTTGGACCTATGGAACTTGCCATGAAGACAGGAGTAAATAGTGGTATTGTCAACATAAATAGCTAGGAACTGATGACATTGGAAAAGGTCATTGATAAAGATAAGAAACAATGTAGGTCCAAGAACAGAATCCTGGAGCACACCCACTTTAATGTGAAATTATCTAGAAGCATCTTCGTTCAACACAACTTCTTTACACAATTTGTCAAGAATGATTGGACTAAACTAAATATTTGTACAAAGACACCACACCCCTTGAGTTTGTGGAGAAGGCCAGCATGCCAAACACTGATGAATATCTAAGATATCTCAAGCCACAGCTAAAGATATGCCCTTCTTATCTAAAGCCTGATAGACAAATTCAGTAATAACTGGTAACACATTGGTGGTAAGCCTGGAGAATTGAAAAACCATACCGTTTATCCAAAATAAGGTCACATGAACTAAGATCTTTAATCAAGTCAACATTGGCTTCAACGGCAGATGTTTTGTATGCAAAACAGAGGTAATAGACTAATAGGTTGATAATTCAAGGGGTTAGAAGAATCACTAGAATGTTTAAAAACAGAAACTATATATGAAAGACTTGATCTGATGAGACTATTTATGAACATGACTAGAGTTCTTACATTAATGTTTTAGTTTTGTAGCAATTTGCTTATTGTGCAAAACTACTCCTAATGCAACCTGCTCAATTTCCTCATCCACTACATGAAATTTGTTTTAAATGATCCATACACCAAGGTATCTGTAGTGTTTATTATTTACTAATTCCACATCCTGAAATTTTATGAGGGATTCACTGCTTTCATTTCAAATCATACTTTTTGGAAATTTTTATCTGAAGTTCTTTTTTTTTGGAACACTTGATAGAGTATGTGAATTTTTTTGTTCAAGATCATTCTATCTTAACTATGTCATCATAATGTTTCATCTCACATTTCATCATCTTTAAATGGCCTTGGGAGGGAAAGAAGGAAAGTTGTTGTTGTATAGTAAAGCAGTTCAGAATTAAAGAAACTTATCTTTTATCTTACATTTTATGCATGTCCAACATGGACACAGAAATGCATCAGCAGGTAAAATAATAAAAAAAAATACAGAAAAATTTACTATACATGCCTGTAAAAAATTGGGTGTGCTAAAAGGACAATTTTTCTTTTGACACCATATGATCTCTCATAGATTTTTATAGTTTTAAAAAGTTATTTTTAGAATTTTAATAAAAGGCAGACATATGAAACTGGACTTATACATTCTGTTTATTCTTGAGAATTGACAAGAGAATTAAGCACTATTTTATTACATTTAGTTACAAGCTTATAAAAATGTGGACCAACTACAGTGCGATATTTGTTATTTGCCATATTAAAAAAAAAAAAAACTATGCAAACAATTTTTTTTTTATTCATGAATTTATAAACATGTCTGAACTAAAGAAAACTTAAATGTGCACATAACTTGAGTAATTAATCACAAATTTTGAGAAAAAGAAAGAAAAAAAAAAGATTGCTTTTTCCAAGCAATTCTTTCATTTACTCTCACTGTATTTTTTGAGTGTGAATTTTTTTCCTTAACAAGAAATGTTAACTTAAAAACTATTTATTAGACTGTTTATTTACAAGAATAGTGTTTAATACTTTGTCAATTCTCAAGAAAAAAGTTATAAATCCAGTTTCATATGTATAGGTTTTATTGAAATAACTTTTTAAAACAAATATTGTCAAGTGAGTATACAATAAATAGCAGTGCCAAAATGAAACACCATTTTGTTGTAGGTACATTTATTTGAAAAAAAAAAAAAAAAAAATCAGGAAATAATAACTAATAATTTACTTCTCTACTCAGTATATATGCTGATGACAACTATTTACTTAAAATTAGTCTGATAAGTTCAATAAGGTTAAATTGGTAGTTGATCTTAAAAACAACATTCAATCTATTGTTTACTGGGGCAAGAAATGACTTGTTAATTTTAACACCTCCAAAATAAAACTGCTCTCCTTCAATCTTTTAAGATTGATTTTTTTTTTTTTTTTCTCTCTCTCTCTCTCTGCGTTCCATTAGCAAGATTGATGAGAGCCCCTAGGAGAGCAAACTCATTGCACCATTTCAGTCTAATGTCTTCCATGGACATAAGATGGAATGATTATATCAAATCAGCTGCTAAGAAAGTCGTTTTACTGGGTTATGCTAGGCATTTTTTTTTTTTCTCACCAAATCTATCTTTCACATAGAAAAAAAATCTACCATTAGTCCATGTATTGAATATTGATGTCACATCTGGCCTGGTGTTTGTATGTATCTAGAGATTCTTAAAATCCAAAGAAGAATCTGTAATTTTATTAGACCTGACATCTCTGGCTCAGTTACTTTCCCACTACCATAATGTAGCTTCCCTGTGCCTTTTTTTTTCTTTTTAAATAAATATTTTCATAGTAATTTTTCTGGAGATCTATTCCTCCTTAGTAACCTTAAATTTAAAGAGCAGTATTAGGTCTTACTCTTTTACCATTGAAATTACTAAACGTAATCAAACTAAGCTAATAGTTTCTTCATTCACACTTCTCATTTGTGGAAATATTTTCTAGCTTTCCTGTCAACTGTGGGCTTCAAAAATTTAAATGCAACATCAATCATCATCTGTCTCCTTGAATTCTGATCTTTTATTGTCCTCTCTCCTCAATAAGGTTTTTCTCTGATTCTTTCGCTCTTAGTAACCCCTTGCGTGTTAGTGCTAGAGATGAAATGATTAAAAAATTATGAAAAGTCAAATATTTACCAAGTTTGGTTATCAAAATCATATTTGGGCTCTTCTAAATAAATATCATTTAATTATCAGGTCCAACACAAGGTACTGGCAACTCAAGCAGTTGGAACTATCAAAGCTGAGGATGCCATGTTGCGTTTGGAATCTTCCAAAACTAAAGCTTATAAAAGCATACATGTGGTCGTCCATGACTAAAGACATTAAATTCTTTGGCTATTTTGTCAATAGAAAATGATCTTGAAGATAGGTGTAGAAAGTGTCATGAAAAGATTTTTGCAGATCTAAAAGGTTAGAAAAAATGTTTTAGGTAGAAAAATGAACAGTTTCTTTAGTTGTTTGTATAAACTTATTATTCTACATTTTCCCCTTGTGAAAATTTTAAAAACTATACTTGTAAGGACACCGAAGTTCAAGCTTACCAGGGTTGTCAGCAATCCTAGGGCTGTCACTGTTAATTATATATTCAACATTATTTGTAATGACATATTGCCACTTATGCAGCTCTTCAATATATTTTCAGTAAAATAAAATCCTGCAGGTTTTGATGTGAAAAAGTCTTCAACTAACTCTTGAATGTGGTTTTTGATCAGAGAAAGTTTCCACCAACAAAGTGACTTGCAGTGATCGAAAAAGGTTGGTGCAGTGTCAGGTGAATATAGCAGGGGAAGTAAAACAGAAAATTATCATCATTTGACCTCCCTGTGGTTGGTTGGAACTATTAACAAACCCTTTCTACACTGCTTGGTCCTGAATTGCCATCCCCAGATCACCAATGTCCAATCCTGAGTCACAAGCTATGGTGATTGGGAAAGTCAACTTTTGTGAGAAGATAACTCCAGAAGGATGCCAAAAAAGTAAGGATGAGACAACCTCCCTATCCATTCAGTGGCAGTGGCCAGCAAACTGCAATTGCTTTTGTTTGACATTGGTCTCAGTTCTCCGTAAATTGTGTTAAGCATTGCATGGAATCTTCAACTGATGTTCTGGATTTTTCTAAGTAGATTTGTCTATGTTCCATCTAGTCATCTTTCACAGCACACAATGTCCCAAGTTTCTGATCCATACAATAGGACCAGTTCAATCAGTGTTCGAAAGTTGCAAATCACAAATTAACAGAAACAAGAATTAATATTCAACAATGTAAGGTTGCATTTCTGGTAGGTTTGCCAGGTGCCTGTCTCTTATACATATATATATTTTTGTTCACTCCAAGCCACCGAGACACAAGGGGGTTACTGGATGTGGAAGAGGTAGACACAGGAACATTGCTAAGGAATGAGAACAGAGGAAGAGTAATAAAGAAAGCAGACAGCAATTGACATTGCATTTAGATTTTTATCAATGAGCTCCAGATAGATAGCAGGAGCACCTGACCATATATGGCAGCAGTATTCTAAGCATGGACGAATAGTAGATTAAAGGAGTTGGATTTGTACTAGATCAAGACATCAAGAAATCCATCCTAGGATCCTGTCAGTTATCTGAAAGAATTTTGTAGTTTACCTGAAAGGAAAGCCTTTCA